GCGGCACCAGGGCTGGGACAAAGGTCTCCCAGCGCTGTAAAAAACCCACCCCTACGAGGGGAGTGGCTCCCAGCGCTGTCTATACTGCCACTTTACACTGCTGAAACTTTCAGCACTTGGGGTGTTTTTTCACACCCCTGCACGAGAAAGTTGCAGCACTGTAAAGTGGCAGTGTAGACAAGGCCGTAGCAATTGGCTGAACAAGAAGTAGGACTGAATGGACTTGTAGGCTCTAAAGTTTTACATTGTTTGTTTTTGAGTGCAGTTTGTAACAAAAAAAATCTACATTTCTAAGTTACGCTTTCACGATAAAGAGATTGCACTACAGAACTTGTATGAGGTGAATTGAAAAATACTATTTTATCATTTTACAGTGCAAATATTTGTAATAAAAATAATATAAAGTGAGCACTGTACACTTTGTATTCTGTGTTGTAATAGAAATCAATATATTTGAAAATGTAGAAAAACATCCAAAAAAATTTAATAATTTTCAGTTGGTATTCTATTGTTTAACTGTGATTAATCGCGATTAATTTTTTTAGTTAATCTTGTGAGTTAACTGATCGACAGCCCTAGTCTTTTTGTTCCTCTGTAAAGCACAAGTGTGTTCTTGAAATGCTTAAATTAAAAACTGCCTATATCTGAGGTGCTCTAAGTTAAAATCTGAAAGGTTACAGATAAATATAAAGCTTAGAATTGTGAAACTCACTTTTTTGGGGGGTTGATAGATTTTTTTAAAGGCAAAAGGGACCCATTATGATCATTTAGGCCTTGGCTACACTTGCGAGTTACAGCGCGATAAAGCAGCCCGGGGCGCCCTAGTTCACTCCCCATCCACACTGGCAAGGCACGTAGAACGGTCTGACTCTGCTGGTACTGCACCTTGGCGAGTAGAATGTTTGCTGTGCCCGCGCTGGAGCGCCATGGCGCCAGTGTGAACGAGGTGTTGCATTACTGTGCTGCGATCAGCCTCTGGAAATGTCCCATAATCCCCTTAAATCAAGTGGCCACTCTTGTCATTGTTGTGAAATCGGCCGCAGGAATGCGGAAATGCCCTTTTAAAGCTCCCTTTGGGAGAAGCCAGCTGCTTATCAGTTCCACGAAAAAGCAAACACTTACTGTTTGCTTTGAATGAGTGAAAGAGAGAGGCAGGGAGGAGAGGGGCCTGAACTTACAAGACAGCATGCTGACACACTCTCAGCACCCCAAAAACCCACTTTCCCCCACATACACATAACACACTCCATCCCCCCCCCATTTGAAAAGCACGTTGCAGTCACTTGCATGCTGGGATAGCTGCCCATAATGCACTGCTCCCAATGCTGCTGCAAGTGCTGCAAATGGGGCCATGCCAGTGCTCTTGAAGCTGTCAGTGTGGACAGACTGCAGCGCTTTCCCTACTGTGCTCTACGAAGGTGGGTTTAACTCTCAGTGCTCTACATCTGCAAGTGTAGCCATCCCCTAAATTTTATAGCGTACGTAACACAGGCCATAGAGTTCACCCAAATTCCTGTATAAAACGTTACTTGTAGTTGCCCCAGCACACTTTTTTTGTAATATAAAGATCTCCGATCTTCATCTGTAAGCTAAGTGTCAGAGCTGGTACTAGTAGCCAGGGCTGCCATGTCCCAGTCCAGCACCTTATCCCCTGGACCTTTCCTGCTGCTCTAGGAGCAGACCTTTTGAGTATGGGACCACTCCATGCTTAACTTCAAGCATGTGCGTTTGTGGGAGGTTTTTTTTGGGGGGGGGGGGGATGAGCCAGTTGATGAGGAGGACTTCTGGCCACAGATAAAACGTCAACATTTCTGAAAATGAAGTGCTTATAACGCCTCCTTTTCAAATAACTAGGAAAACTCTATGCTAATAGTAAACTGGCAAACTTGTAAAGCAGCAGGTTTTTTCTGATCTGCTTTCTGGTGATGTCAGCAGCCATCTTATAAGGGGTGAACAGACTTCCCACCAGATTTTTTTTTTAAAAGCAGGCTTAGCAGGAGGAAGCACTAATGTTAAAAACAAATGATGGTGTCTTGTTTTTTTTTCTGGTTCTGTTAATTTCTGCTCAGACTGTGTACACCATTTACTAAAGGAGGAAAGTGGGTCCAGGGCCCTGCTCTGATTTCTCTTTACACTGACGTAGCCCCATTGACTTCAGTGGGGTTCTAGTTCTCAGCAGGATGAGATCAGAATCACAGCCAGTGTCCACAATAAGGTAACCTTTACTTGCTTTCACAAATAGTCACTTCTTGGAAGCCACTGCCACCGGCTGTTCAAGAACTGCTAATTGTAATTAATTTTTTTTTTTCATATGGAACTTGTTGACTGAGGAGAAACTTTTCACTAAGAGCTTTCAAAACCCTGACCTCTGTTTTGCTGGTGTAAATCTAAGTAACTCCTTTGATTTTAATGTCTTTTAGTGGTACAGGGAACAGAATTTGAGCTGCTAGCACAAAACAAAATGAATACAGCTTTCATTAAATACAACCTTCATCTTTAATATTAAAGTCTTTTGTGTGTGTGTGTGTTATCCTAACTTAAATAAAAGGGGGTTATAAACCTATAACTGGAGTGCCTTTGTGTGCTGGTATGTAATACACCCTGTACTTCGTGCCCTCTGTGCCCCATGCTCACATACTTTCACACACAGGCCCCCAGTCAGTCACCATCCTTCCAGATGAAGATGGGATCTCTGAGGGTCTGATCCAGCACCCATTTGAGTCAATGGAGAGGTTCCCAATTGACTTCAGTGGTCATTTGGATCAGTCCCCTAAACAGCACTACTGGGCCTTTCTTTACTGGGTCCCAGAATTAGTCGGGTTCTCAAGTACGTGCCTAACTTCTAGCATAGGAGTAGTCCCATTTCTGAAGTTAGACACTTGCTTAAGTACATTGCTGAAGTGGGGCCTGTTTAGGGAAATGCTGCCTAGCATTTCCAGCCCAGGACAACCAGACAGCAAGACATCAAGTCTGGGATTTGCAATAATGCTTTACTTGTATTATAGCAATTTTAAATATATTTTCTTTTAAAGGGTGATACTACTACATTAGTAATGTAATTGGCTTCTGAAATATTGGGGCTACAATTCACAGGTGGTAAAATGTGAGGGAAGAGACAGGTATGGCTTAGTACCTTTTACACAGAGAACAGTCTTGCAACTGACCAACCTGCTTATAAAGAATTTTTAAAATTATGGGTAGAGTAATGTGAGCCACAAGACTAAGTCCACTTACACCTTACTGAATATCTTCCACCCAGGGGTCAGTTTTGATTTGGTGGTGTGGGTGAGGGTGGCATGTGACTGTGTGCACTGCAGCAAGATTGATACAGACTCCTTCTTCCCCACCTATCTATCCCCCAGGCTGACGACTATCTTGTTCCACAGCAATGGATAGCACCTGTCCTACCGGATAGATTGTAGGAAAGAGGTTGCTAACTTTTTAGTTGTGCTAAAAGTAACATTTCGCACTCAGCGAGTTCACGAAGTATATGTTGACACAACTGTGCAGCTACAGCTGTGCTGCTACAGCCGCACTGCTAAAAGGCACACGGTGTAGCCACTGTTTGTCAGCAGGGGAGAGCTCTCCTGCTGACAAAGCGCTGTTCACACTAGAGCTTTTCGTTGGCAAAATTTTTATTGTTTCGGGGGGTAGGGGAGTGGGGTTTCACACACCTGCACAACAAGTTTTGTCGTTCAGGTTCCACTGTTGACAAAGCCTAACTTACATTTTGCTCTGATGCCAAGTGTAAAAATTGTCAGTCCTGTATACATGGTTGATGATCCATTGCCTTACAGCTTGTAGCTACTTACATCTGTAAAAAAGTAAGTGTAAATCAGAGTGGCAGCATTTTACAGTTATTTTTCACAGGTCTAAACAACTAGATAAAGTGCAAAGCAGTAGAGAATTAAGACCTGCTTTTCTGAAGCCTTAAAGTATGTCTTCAGAAGTAGAACAATACTGTGTTTTGTTAATTAGCATCATTCAAACTATTTTCAGTCATTTCTAAACAGCTTTTCCATATGTGCCTGGAAGGGAAAAGACCTTCCCATTACGTTAGTTGCCTTAGTGGGATGGGTCTCTTTTGTTCATGGGATTTCTTTTCAATAAATGACTGCGGATTCAAATCCAACGTTTCTGCTTCTTTCTCCCCAGTAACTGTGTATATAATGACATTGGATTAAATAGTTTTATATTTATAACAAAATTACTTTTTTACCCACTTCCCACAAGAGACTGAAGTGAAGGGAGAAAACACTGAAAACCTCTTCATTTTATGAACACACACGAAAATAATCTTTGTTCTATCGCTACGATGCCAAAAATAGAAAAAATTCAGACGCACGAAGCATTATCCTCAATTATTTTTCTTAAGACTTAGCTTCCTAGAGGAAACTGGTCTTTAAAGATTCTGTTTAACTGAGAAATAGGAGGTTCCCATTTTACAGAATTGGCCTTTAGCACCTCTGGCACCAGAATTCAGCCTTTTCAATTAAGGTTGTGACTTCTGAAAACCATGCTTCTGGCACAGCTGACAAATTCTATTCAGAAGAAGGCTAAGAATGAACGGAAAGATTACTTAAAATTAAATGTCTCTTGGGAAGGGGCTACTCATCAAATTGAGTGTGAAGTAGTGTGGGAAAGGTGGGGTTTTTTTTTTTAATTTTCTCAGAGAAAATGACTCAAGTTTCCAGTGTTTCTATTAAAACTATCACAATTACAACTGAATATAAGGCAGAGAATGAGAACAAACTATCCTGTTTACATGAAAGCTGTTTAAAATTATGTTGGCTCAGCCATTGGAATTTATACTTCTGAGTGACTCCCAGAAAATCTTTGTTGCTTCCCCCAGCTTAACAATTGTACAAGATTTAAAACAGGAAATTACACAAATATTGATGTAGTTGAGACTTATGATAACTGTGATTTTTTTTTTTTCCCTCTCTAAGGAGACATAGGTGTGTTTCTCTATTTAACTTGTCTTTATCTCTGTTTTTCAGATAATCGTAGGAGAAGGCCTGTCTGTCTATTATAACTGTTTGCACTCGAATTCGTTTGTCAGAAATAACTACATAGCCACTATTTACAAAGCCATTGGGACCTTCATTTTTGGTGCAGCGGCTAGCCAATCCCTGACGGACATTGCCAAGTACTCCATAGGTAGACTGCGACCCCACTTCCTGGCTATATGCCAACCAGATTGGACACGAGTCAACTGCAGTCTAGGTTACATTGAAAACTTCCCATGTCAAGGAGACAAAGTACAAGTTAATGAGGGAAGGTGAGTAAGCTAATGTACTTTGGTCTTGAAGGATATTATCTTGTATTGTAAACCCCTGGAGACAATGAGTGTTCGATGGATTGATTTCTCCTATTACATGCTCCATGAGTCCATTAGAATGGATTTAGTGATCTAATAGACATACAGTGAACCTCAAAGCACATGCTCAGGCACTAGACTATCTTCTTTTTTATCTCTCCTCCTCTTTCCCCTAAACCCACAAATTTATTCTTTATAAGCTATAGGACGGGGTCGGCAGCCTTTCAGAAGTGGTGTGCCAAGTCTTCATTTATTCGCTGTAATTTAAGGTTTTGCATGCCAGTAATACATTTTACATTTTCAGGGGCCACGGATGGAACTCCAGACTGGCAGCGGGCTGAGTGGGGCCTGGACCCCAGGCTGGCAGCAGGCTGAGCCACTCAGCCCGCTGCCGGTCTGGAGTTCCGTCCGCCAGCTCCTGCCAGCCTGGGGTCCTGGCCGCCAGCCCTGCTCAGCCCGGTGCCAGGCTGGCAGCGGCTGAGCAGGGCTGGCGGCTGGGACCCCAGGCTGGCAGCAGCGTGCCACTGTAAATCAGCTTGCATGCTGCCTTTGGCACGTGTGCCATAGGTTGCCAACCCCTGCTATAGGAACAGGACTTCAGCTTATACACAAACCACTGTTTTCAGTTGTGTTTCCTTCATCAATTTTGCGTGACCAGAAATGTGCACCAGCCCTTTAAATTGGTAGTTTTGGGGGCAGTCAAATAAGATCCATTTGGAAAGGAAACCACTGTATATTCTTCCTGAATGAATAACTAAGTCTGAGAGCTGCCTTCTCAAGCTTTTCTGGGGCGACTTTAAGGAAGGGAGAAAAATTTATTCATATTTAAAATAGAAGAATAAGTTAATCAAAAACAGATGTCTCTGTATAAAATATGCAACAGGCAAGAGGATAGTGTTGTGCATTTTGTCCATTATCAAGCCCAAATAACTATTTTTAACAAACATTTAATATCCAGTGAAACTAAGGCAAAAAAGGAAACAAATTAATAGAAACAGATGTGCTGTGACCTGCTTCAAAAGTGACCCGTACTTGTTCCCCCTCCTCCCCTGTGTCCTGTAATCTCAGACAGATGTCAGGAATGTCCTCAAACATAGCCAATAATGTTAAGTGTTGAAATTTTAGATTTAGTTTGAAGTATTTTTCAGAATAAACAATCCTAGTATTAAAATGGTTCAAACTCCCAGCAAGTTCTTTTTGTTCTATATACTTGGAATGCTTGCAGTTAGGGAACTTCACCAACTGACTTCGCTTTTTAAAAATCAAACAAACAAAAAAACTGGAAAGTTGTTTAATAGGGAGAATTTCTTCAGATTGAAGAACTTCTACATCTCTTTAGTTCCATCATTCCACTTCTGCATTAGCCAGCTTTCCCAAAATTGCAGTCCCCTTCAGAGCTCTTATAATACCCATAGGGTCCCCTTATAACCGGGGAAAAGTGTAGTGACTTGAATACATTTGGGACCAGGTTCTGCCCTTTGACACATGCACAACATCCATTAAAGTCCCTGGAAGCTGTACGTACATTAGACAATAGTACTTGGTCCCTGACTTGGAAAATTGTTTTTGTCTATCACAAACAAAATTTATAATAGTGTGAACAGCACTTCATTAAATACATACTCCATAAGTAAACCGCAGCTTACTCTGTTGAGTGAGTTGTAGAGTAGATGACTTTTTTGCTTTATATTCAGGGCTGTTTTTTTTTTCCTGATTGATTGATTATATTGTGGCCAAAGACAATCTTTGTTTAGTTAGCTCGAGTTCATTCAGACCGTAATTCTTGGACAGGCTTCTCTCTTGTGGGTAGCTGTGTTTAGTCAGAATACCCATTCTTAAACGATCACCCCAGTATCTCCTTCCAGAAAGGTAAGTCTATTTTTGTGTGTGTGTGTTGGTCATCAAGTACTTCCTCCATGACTGCCTACTTCAGGCAGGGAAAAGGCACCAAAATCCCATTTTCATTAAAATCTTTGTCTTTGAAACTTTTTATACGGCATTGGCGTCTTTTCCAGGAACACGGACTAAACAACTTTTCCAAAGAACCCTGACTTACAGTAGAAGTAGCTTAAACAGCAGGAATAATTTAAAAGGAATTGCCTTTTTCTTCTGCCCAAGAGTAGTTTTTGAGTATGTGTATTTGTTTAACTTTGTTACAAAGGACAATAAAACGGAGGAATAGAAGCGTCTTGAGGTTAAATAAGAGCAGAAGCAAGATCTCGGCAGTATGGTATCATGTCAGCTTTGCTTTAGTTAAATACAAAACTAAAAAATTGCAACAGCCAAAAACTAAGTCTCAGGTTCATATCAAACAAGGGAAAGTAAGTGATATATATGTAATGTGTAGGCTCTGCAAGCTCACTTTTTCTGTAGACCAGTTTTGTCCTTCATATGACTTTCCTCAACTTGACCTATTTTTGTCTATAGTTGTAACATTTGACCATTGTTGCTCAAAATAAGATTTGTTACATGGGGCACTTACTTTTGGTATTATACATCTATACAGAAAAACAGATGGGTTGTGTTTGAAACTTAGACTTAGAACTCTGGTGTCTTTCCAAGTGGGGGGGGGGGGGCGGGTGAGGAGAAGCTGCACAGACTCCGCCTATTGAAGGAGAATGTACTAAGGGTTTAGTTGCATTCAGCACAGACCAGGGTCTAAATGCAGCTTTGGTATCACTCCATTGACTACTTCAGTGGGGTTTGCTCAGACAGTGGCTGAACTGGCCTCTCCTTTGAGAAATCGCACTTGAGTGGGGCGGTTTGTTTCTCCCTTCACTCTTCTCAAATTGTCTTAGATTGACATCTTCATGCGGGAGAGAAGGGGGAGATGCAGAATTAGCTGAGTTGATTGTAGCGCATAAAAGCCCATATAATCTGGATTCTGTGTGTCTTGGAGTTGGGTGGATGGTCTAGTGGTTATGGCACTAGCCTAGGATTTAGGAAACCTGGATTCAAGTCCCTGTTCTGCCATGGATTTCATTTCCTCTGAACTTGGTGTCTCTGTGCCTCGGTATCCCTATTTTACAGATTGGGGGAAATAGCACTTCCTTACCTCATAGGAGTATTGTGAGGATAAATACATTAAAGTTTGAAGAGCTCAGATACTATGGTACTGGGGGGTGTAAAAGTACCTAAAATAGATTAGTGTGGAAAAATAAAAGAATCTGTTAAATATCTAAAGATTTTGATCTTGAAATATTTGTAGCCTATGGCTAGCATTCAGGAATCTTGGCTTACCTCATCATTCCATCCCCACTTTCTCAGGAGCCATGTCATTATGAATCCTTAAAAGCTATTTTCAGAAGTGTGTGTGTGTGTGTGTGTGTTTCTCCCATCCAGTACAAGATATCAGTGTAACTGCAGGTATTTTCTCCATTAACCCAGGTCCTGGGAACCCTACTTAGCCTCACCCTGATACCTCATAATGAGATACAAGGCCAAATCTTAAGTCAACTATATGTTTGCACATACACCTTCTTGTGTATGCCAGTGGCATGGGGGAGCAGGCAGGTTTGGGCTCCCCTTGTTGAATCATGGTTGCTACTGAATTACTTAATTCTAAAACTACAGTCTGCTTCCTACATAGTTTTTTAATGAATTTATAAACTCTCCATTTTAAACAATGGAACTGATGGCCTACAGGCATATGTGCACCAGTGTTGTTGCAGTTCATGCACAAATGGTCAGTCATGGACCTAGGTATAGGCATTTGTGGGGGCCAATAACCTTAAAAATCAGATCCTAACAAGTCACTAAAGCATATGTCTACGCAACAGTAGCTCAGCTATGGCGCTGCAGGTGTGCCACCGTAACACCATAGCGAAGATGCTTCCATCCATGTAGTTAATCCACCTCTCGAGCAATGGTAGCTAGATTGACAGAAGAATTCTTCCATTGACCTACTTGTGTCTACACAAATGTAGACCAGGCCTAAGACTTATAAAAGCCTGACTTGCACTCACCTCTGTGGTGATTAGACACACAAACATAGCCATGCGAATTAACCTAGGCTCTGTAGAAATTTGCTGCTGTATGATCTAGCTAAGTGAGTGACTGAAATACCAAGTCTTGGGGCTGTCTGTGCTTGTGAAGTTTGTGGTCATGGTGTGGGTGGGACCTGAAAGCCTTGGGGCGCACAAAGGCCAGATACTTCAGACAGCTGAACTGAAAAATCTGTTCTCTTATGGAGCCTGAAATATACTCTGGCTATAAAATACACCTGATGTATATACTTAGTGAGACACTCCTTCTAAGCATTTTCCATTTCAAAGTATTCATAAGTAGCTTGTTGAAAGATCATGGGAAATAGAGAAGGTTAAAAGTTTAACAATGTAATTCATTCAGTATTCCAGGTACTAAGTCTTAGTGACTGTCATAAACATACATAATATCAGAATCCAAGATACTTATCTTTTGAACCTCTAGCTGTTTGAGGACATTAGATGTAGGACGTGGATACAACCTATTGCATCTGCCTTGTTACCTCATACTATTGATCTAACAGTGCTCATTGTTAAGTGGAGCTTTAAAGACAGCATTGCTATGGGAAGTTTTCCATAACTGCTGCTATTTTATTCTATTTTCATACTCTTTTGCCATATTTTATTAGGCATAAGGGCCCAGTGGGGTTAGAAGTACTGTAAAATATATAATTTCTGTTTGGGGGAAGAAGGAGAGAATAATCTTTGTAGACAAAAACCCATTTATCATAGTCTGAACGTCCTTTCACTGGCATTGGATTTCCAGGACTGAAAAAAGATGTAACTGCATGTTGAAATCTTGTCCATACTTACGGGTGTCTAGAGTTAAAAGTTTAAAAGTCTTTAAAACCACATGGAGTCCCACATCTCCTTTTTGGCTTAAACATCTGTTTGTTCTAAAACTCCATTTGAATGCAAACCTTCCCAGGAAGCTAATACAGTATACAAGTCTAATAATACAGACTTATCCAATGGAAT